ACTAGCTGATACTGACATAGGTAGGGGGGAATATAAACCACAGCTAGCTGATACTGGCATAGGTAGGGGAATATAAACCACAGCTAGCTGATACTGGCATAGGTAGGGGAATATAAACCACAGCTAGCTGATACCGGCATAGGTAGGGAGGAATATAAACCACAGCTAGCTGATACTGGCATAGGTAGGGGGGAATATAAACCACAACTAGCTGATACTGGCATAGGTAGGGGGGAATATAAACCACAGCTAGCTGATACTGGCATAGGTAGGGGATATAAACCACAACTAGCTGATACTGGCATAGGTAGGGGAATATAAACCACAGCTAGCTGATACTGGCATAGGTAGGGGGAATATAAACCACAGCTAGCTGATACTGGCATAGGTAGGGAGCATATAAACCACAGAACTAGCTGATACTGACATAGGTAGGGGGAATATAAACCACAGCTAGCTGATACTGGCATAGGTAGGGGAATATAAAACCACAGCTAGCTGATACTGGCATAGGTAGGGGGAATATAAACCACAGCTAGCTGATACTGGCATAGGTAGGGGGGAATATAAACCACAGCTAGCTGATACTGGCATAGGTAGGGGGGAATATAAACCACAACTACACTGATACTGACATAGGTAGGGGAATATAAACCACAAGGTAGCTGATACATTGATACCGACATAGGTAGGGGGCCAGGCAGCATGATAGGTACCGGGGGGAATATCAGCCACATAAACCACAGCCAGCCGATAGCTGATACTGGCATAGGTAGGGGAATATAAACCACAGCTAACCGGCATTAGCTGATACTGGCATAGGTAGGGGAATATAAACAACAGCTAGCTGGATACTGGCATAGGTAGGGGAGAATATAAACCACAGCTAGCTGATACTGGCATAGGTAGGGAGGAATATCAACCACAGCTAGCTGATACTGGCATAGGTAGGGGGGAATATAAACCACAGCTAGCTGATACTGGCATAGGTAGGGGGGAATATAAACCACAGCTAGCTGATACTGGCACAGGTAGGAGGAATATAAACCACAGCTAGCTGATACTGGCACAGGTAGGGGAATAAAACCACAGCTAGCTGATACTGGCATAGGTAGGGGGGAATATAAACCACAGCTAGCTGATACTGGCATAGGTAGGGGGGAATATAAACCACAGCTAGCTGATACTGGCATAGGTAGGGGGAATATATACCACAGCTAGCTGATACTGGCATAGGTAGGGGGGAATTGAAGCATGTCTGGCCAATGGCTACCAGTGTTCCATCAATGCTGCAATTAACAAACATGAAAACCCCTCGAAACAAAGATTTCTGTTTGGTGTTAACTCTAAACTGTACTTGGTAGCATGTTTCTGATAAATGTCTAGTTTGTCAAGATCCTTACTTTCTGATACCTAGCAGTATGATATAATTCATTATCAAAATACCAAAACCTACCAACTCAGTTAAGAACATCTCAGATTTTTCTATGTTTATGGATCACTAAACTTTGATTTACATTTCTGAAGAAGAGACGAATGATTCATGTCAGGTATGACAAATAATATGAGAAGCTTTCCACAGGAAAAACTTAGAACGTGAAAAAGGCAAGGAATGGTGTAAAAAATGTACAACTTCATCCAAACTGAATAACATTTCATCAATATGCCCAACCTTCATAAAAGCTTAACAGACATTTATAAAAACATATGTTCATATGTTGGTTAATTTATATACATTGCACATAGGCCCAAGCAGAAGATGAATTGACAAAAACACCCACCATTTCCAGAATCAGATGTAGGGTCATGTGACACTGATGGACAGTGAAAGGACACAGAACTGTTTAGACAGTAAATATACCATAACTGCTTCCCAGCATTGTGGAAAGGTATATTAGAATTATATATAAGGAAAAAATATATTAGCATGATTAGTAACCATGGCAACCATATACATGTATATGAATACATTACCTCAAACACATCTCCAGAATTTTCCTAAACAGATAGAGAGTTGTCTGATTTGTGTTACCTGTGTTTACTGTTTTGGAAAATAAATAAGATGACTATACTAACTATGCAAACAAATTGAAAGTGACTATGTAGCATTTGATTGGTTGACAATGCGTCCTCTGGCGCAGGTTCGTGCATGGTCGCTCTTTCTTGAGCAAATCGCTGTTCCATCATTGCCATCATCTGTTCAGTAAATTGCCTCATGAAGGCCCCAGGGTCGAAACTTTGCTCCGTGGTCTTTAACTGTTGCGATGATGGTGAAACATGCCAAAATATACCCAGATAACACCGGACTCACCCGATCAAGAGCAAAGAACTGCCCATCAGGGCCCAGGTTGCAGCCAAACAGAGCTAGACGTAGCCAGACATGTCTTGTACATAAACATGACAAAATATACCCACATAACACCGGACTCACCCAGTCAAGAGCAAAGTACTGCCCATCTGGGCCCAGGTTGCACATAACACCGACTCACCCAGTCAAAGCAGAGCCAGGCGTAGCCAGACATGTCTTGTACATAAACATGCCAAAATATACCCAGATAACACCGACTCACCCAATCAAGAGCAAAGTACAGCCCATCTGGGCCCAGGTTGTAGTCAGTTGTAGCCAAACGTAGCCAGACATGTCTTGTACATAACCATGACAAAATATACCCAGATAAGACCGGACTCGGCTGATTAAGAGCAAAGTACAACCCATATGGGCCCAGGTTGTAGTCAGACGTAGCCAAACGTAGCCAGACATGTCTTGTACATAACCATGACAAAATATACCCAGATAACACCGGACTCTGCTGATTAAGAGCAAAGTACAACCCATCTGGGCCCAGGTTGTAGTCAGACATGTCTTGTACATAAACATGACAAAATATACCCAGATAACACCGGACTCACCCGATCAAGAGCAAAGTACAGCCCATCTGGGCCCAGGTTGTAGTCAGACGTAGCCAAACGTAGCCAGACATGTCTTGTACATAAACGACTGCCTACGTGGTATAGTGGTTAGAGCTTCCGCCCACAGAGCGTAAGGTCGTGGGTTCGATCCCGACCCGCATCATACTAAAAGACGTTACAAATATGGTACTTGTTGGTCCAGGCGGCAATAACGGGTACAACAAGGACTGGTCAGCTCAGAGTCAGTATAATGTGTCTGAGTGGGGTATTCATGCTTCACTGCGGCATGGTATCTCAGTGGGCTAGCACTATAAACCAGCTTAAATCTCAGCTAGTACAAGCAGCCACACATACACATACACATACACATACACATACACACGCATGCACATTGTCATATGAGCAAAATATTCTCAAGCATGACGTTAAACCCAATTTCACCTCACCTCACCTTGTACATAAACATGACAAAATATACCCAGATAACACTGGAGACTCACCCGATCAAGAGCAAAGTACAGCCCATCTGGGCCCAGGTTGTAGCCAGACTCCATAATCCTGAAAACCATGAATCATTAAAGTATATTGTCCACTGTTTGATTGTGTGGTGTTACATGGTAACATGTAGTAAACTTTGGATAGAGTTACTTATATCATTATGTTGTTCTGCCAGAGACAGTTCCTACTGAATCACAATACAGTGTTGAATGTCAAGACACATTCCTTGTGTTGATATACACAATTGTACTAATTCTTTATTGTCTAACACCACTTTAAGCAAAAAACATTCAGCTATACGACATATAGCTGGAGGCCTGTAAATAATAGTCAGGACCAGACAAACCTGTGACTGGCCTCTAGGTATGACATACAACTGAATCTAGAATAAGCTAGTTGGATATGAAGACACAAGGCACGTGTGATTATACGTGTTCTCGGGAGAGGAGTCTTCTGGGTTTTATATCGAACAGCCGAAGACCGCGCTCTTCTGCTCACTCTTCTGCTCGTGAATGAGAGAAGAGCGGGAAGTACTTCCGAGAAGAGAAGAGTGCAAATCGAACATCTCCACTTCCACTTTGAGAAGTATAAATCGCACGCACCAACATACTGGTATGCAGCCAGGTCACAAATTGTGATTTTCATTCTCATAAGTGACTGAGAGACAACGAGTCCTTGTTTTTCCCCTAATGCTAAACACCAGGCTGGATACCATCAATTAATGTTGTTGGTTATACATGGCCGGGGTTCAACCCTCTGGGCTTCAGCTCCCCAGGCAGATATCCTAAGGTCTAAATCTCCACAGAGTGGTTCTAGAATCGGTATCAAGTACCGTATTACCTCTTGACATCGTTCCTGGAACTACCCAGGGCTGTCCTCAGCTGATCTAGGACGGCGTCACACAGAACCTTGTCCGCCTTGCCACAGTTCTGGATGTCCAGTGAGCGGAACAAAAGTTCAGACAACTTCCCATAATCTGGAAAGAAATGAAGCACTAAAACTCTGCATTCCCAACTGAAACACATTGCCTGAATGCATAAAGGGAAAGAACTTGTCACAAACCTCCCTTAGCTTTTGTGAAAATATGTCCTCTACCACTACATCTGTGAAACTTGACACCTGGTGTCCAATGTTAACAAAGAGAATGAAACAAGCTGACACATGCAAGACAAAACAAACACAAAAGTGTCCAGAAGGAATGTAAGGGTGTCTCGATCCCGACCGCATCATACTAAAAGACGTTAAAATATGGCACTTGTTGGTCCCTGCCTGGCGCTCGGCATTAATGGGTACAACAAGGACTGGTCAGCTCGGAGTCAGTATAATGTGTCTGAGTGGGGTATTCATGCTTCACTGCGGCATGGTATCTCAGTGGGCTAGCACTATAAACCAGCTTAAATCTCAGCTAGTACAAGAAGCCACACATACACATACACATACACATACACATACACATACACATACACACACACACGCATGCACATTGTCATATGAGCAAAATATTCTCAAGCATGACGTTAAACCCAATTTCACCTCACCTCACCTTGTACATAAACATGACAAAATATACCCAGATAACACTGGAGACTCACCCGATCAAGGGCAAAGTACAGCCCATCTGGGCCCAGGTTGTAGCCAGACTCCATAATCCTGAAAACCATGAATCATTAAAGTATAATGTCCACTGTTTGATTGTGTGGTGTTACATGGTAACATGTAGTGAACTTTGGATAGAGTTACTTATATCATTGTGTTGTTCTGCCAGAGACCGTTACTACTGAATCACAATACAGTGTTGAATGTCAAGACACATTCCTTGTGTTGATATACACAATTGTACTAATTCTTTATTGTCTAACACCACTTTAAGCAAAAAACATTCAGCTATACGACATATAGCTGGAGGCCTGTAAAAAATAATCAGGACCAGACAAACCTGTGACTGGCCTCTAGGTATGACATACAACTGAATCTAGAATAAGCTAGTTGGATATGAAGACACAAGGCGCGTGTGATTATACGTGTTCTCGGAAGAGAAACCTGTTCCAGAAGAGGAGTCTTCTGGGTTTTATATCGAACAGCCGAAGACTGCGCTCTTCTGGTCGCTCTGATACTCGCTCTTCTGCTCATGAATGAGAAGAGCGGGAAGTACTTCCGGAGAGAAGAGTGCAAATCGAACATCTCCACTTCCACTTCGAGAAGTATAAATCGCACGCACCAACATACTGGTATGCAGCCAGGTCACAAATTGTGATTTTCATTCTCATAAGTGACTGAGAGACAACGAGTCCTTGTTTTTCCCCTAATGCTAAACACCAGGCTGGATACCATCAATTAATGTTGTTGGTTAAACATGCCGGGGTTCAACCCTCTGGGCTTCAGCTCCCCAGGCAGATATCCTAAGGTCTAAATCTCCACAGAGTGGTTCTAGAATTGGTATCAAGTACCGTATTACCTCTTGACATCGTTCCTGGAACTACCCAGGGCTGTCCTCAGCTGATCTAGGACGGCGTCACACAGAACCTTGTCCGCCTTGCCACAGTTCTGGATGTCCAGTGAGCGGAACAAAAGTTCAGACAACTTCCCATAATCTGGAAAGAAATGAAGCACTAAAACTCTGCATTCCCAACTGAAACACATTGCCTGAATGCATAAAGGGAAAGAACTTGTCACAAACCTCCCTTAGCTTTTGTGAAAATATGTCCTCTACCACTACATCTGTGAAACTTGACACCTGGTGTCCAATGTAAACAAAGAGAATGAAACAAGCTGACACATGCAAGACAAAACAAACACAAAAGTGTCCAGAAGGAATGTAAGGGTGTGCACACACTTTAAGAAGCATATATTTACAAAAGTGCATATCACTATGACAGTAAGAATCCTATTTTGAGTATACACTCAAATGAGGGCAGAACTGTTTCAGCTCTGTGTTATGTTTATTGAAGATAAGAAGCACATTAGCTTTAACTACAAATGCAAGAAATAGCTCACTAAAAAAAATCCAAAGAAAAATCTAAAAGTGCATCTTAAGAGGTCGTGTATTCCAAAATTTTATTCTGTAAATATTTCTTGTAAAACACTACCAGTGAACATCCTGATCGGAAAACACTCTACACAGTGTACAGTCAACTCTCGTTAATCCAACACTTGTGGTTGCAGAGAAATATGTCGGATTAACGAAAATGTCGGATTAATGAAAATGTCGGATTAATGTATTTGTGTGAAAATATCAATGTTTACTAAATGTCATGATCGTCATACTGTTGCATGCATATCAGAAATGGTAGATCTAGTTATCTTCATCGTATGTAAAAATATTCACAGAAATGAAAAATATTAACAATACATACTTGTTTTCATTTATTAACAATCATAGATGGCATAACATACATATATAATCACATAAGCGAACAGTTTCATATCTATTTCATGACCACATTGGCACAAAACTCACGTTTGTTTTTACCGCATATCAGCTGCCATTATGACCCGGATGTTGAATATGTTACAGTTTCCATACAACTAATTCCATAATAACATGTGGACATCTAATGTACAATCAGGCGTGTATCATAACATATATAATTTATAACTTGAAAAAGTCTTTGATGGTCATTAACATCGAACACGTCTAAGAAATGTTTGCAAAGAGTTCAACAATGTTTGGGCCTCAGATAGCTTGAAGCATTGGAATCAGTCGTAGAGATGCTCAACCACTAAGCAGACTGCTTCAGGATGTCAGATACGGTTGATCGTCCCAATCTTCACATCAAACTTCTGTGCAGCAAAAGTGATGACTGGTTGTTGTGTTGTCTGGGGTTTGTCCTTCTTCAAAAGGAGATTTCTTTCTTGATCAATGGTGTAACTTCTAAAAGGGGTTGCTTAGCAGGTGGTGTACTCTTGACAAACATCTTGTGATGAAAACTCATGTCGGTTGTAAACATTTAATAATAATAATAATAATAATGTGTCCATTTATATAGCGCCTATCTCACTGTGTAGAATACAGAAACTGAACATCTCTGATCAGAACACCTTTAACACAGTGAATATCTCACCTAGAAGAACACAGCAAGTGAACATCCCTGACCGGAACACATCATAAGGAACAGCTTCAAAGTCTGTACACTCGATACGCTTCCGGAGTTTGGTGGTCACCATAGGTGGCATGTCTCTAATATAACATAGAAAACAGCATTGAACATGTAGAAATCATCTCAACTCATCTCAAACCAATCCTCTAGCTCTACCATTAGCTACTCTGCATATTCACATTACATAAATGAATAGCACAACCGGTGTATACTATAAAACGATGTATACAGTAGAACGATAATAAACAAGAGTCATCAGAAGATGACAAATCCCCCCAGCCCCAACAAATTTGAAAGAACAAATCATCAAACAGTTACCTTAAGTCCATCTTGATTTTTGTTAGACTCAATAAGTCCAAATTGTTTCCATGGAAATCATGAAAAATATAAATGCCAAAAATCTGCAAATAGCAAAAGGCACCGCTTCAAGATCTGTTTCATATGTCTGCCAAATTTTGTAGAAAGATACTGAACGGTTTTCGAGTTGTGCTCCAGAAACGAAGCTCACCCCGCCCTTTTGAGACTGTGTCTGAATGACAGACTTTGTATCAGGTCAGTGTAGTTAACACAGTGATACTGACCGACACAGGCTTTGTATCAGGTCAGTGTAGTTAACACAGTGATACTGACCGACACAGGCTTTGTATCAGGTCAGTGTAGTTAACACGGTGATACTGACCGACACAGGCTTTGTATCAGGTCTGTGTAGTTAACACAGTGATACTGACCGACACAGACTTTGTATCAGGTCAGTGTAGTTAACACAGTGATACTGACCGACACAGACTTTGTATCAGGTCAGTGTAGTTAACACAGTGATACTGACCGACACAGGCTTTGTATCAGGTCAGTGTAGTTAACACGGTGATACTGACCGACACAGACTTTGTATCAGGTCAGTGTAGTTAACACGGTGATACTGACCGACACAGGCTTTGTATGAGGTCTGTGTAGTTCGCTCCATGTACGCCTCGCCTCTTCACGCCTTTACTATCTGTAAACTTAAATGCAGATGTATTGACAATGTTGTGTTATTTGACATTTACCATTACACTTCTTCTAGTTCTCATTCTCAAACAATTACTCACGTTCACATTGATATCCAAGACAAGAACAGGGTATATGTTTGCTGGTCATGCTGAGACAAAGATTCAGTTCCCCACAACAGAACACAAGGTATGAAACAAACATTACTTACAGCCCGTGCTTTTGTATGGCTGTAATATTGCTTAAAGGACAACATTGTAATTTTTTAAGTAAAATTGATATTTTATACTTATCCTGACTCATGCTTATTTGCTTATCTCCTTCCTCTATGCGAATGGTAGTGGAACACTTGAATTCCTTGTAGTTCCCCGAAGAGGACGTAAAAGTTCACTCAACCACGAGTTGCCTCCCTTTTCCCGCTAAAACAGTCATGTGACCTGCAATACTTGTCACTCTCTCCTGAATAAGCCCATGCACCTGAGTTTACTGTGAAACCCGAAGTGTCTTCTGCGGGGAGGTTGGGAGGGCTTGACATCATGAGTCAAGATAAGTATAAAATATCAATTTTATTTAAAAAATTACATATTTTTCCTTATCCTGACTCATGCTTATTTGCTTTCAGAATCCGACGGAATCGGTGGTGGGTCAAGCCACTTCGTGGATTCATCAGCTGTCCTTAGATACGTCCTGTATCTTCTCTAAGACAAGTGAATCTCATAGATTCATGTGGATTTTAGATATACTAGTATCTTCTTTTTACTAGTTATTTATAAACAACCCATAGATTATGATAAGATCGTTACCATAAATGAGTTGCGACCCCTTAGTGTTCAGGTAAGATCGTGACCCATACAGAGTCTTAATCACTCATGCTAGTCTGGTCTAGACAATGCACATGGACTTTCAATCAAAACTCTCCAGAGTGAAGGTAATCAACAAGTCAACGTGATAAAGGGTGAGATTTCCAACTCAATGCCTTTGTGGAACCGTTAGTTGTTGTGCTACAACAGGTGGCCCAAATTGGTGAATTCCGGAGACGTCTTTGGTGGCGATGTCTCGGAGGTAGTGGTTGGCATTGAACACCGTGTCTGACTTCCAAAAGCAGCCATCCATTATAGATGATATCGAGCAGTTTCCGTGCAGAGCGAGTGTGGACGCCAGTGCTCTGACTTCGTGTGGGTTGGAGGCTCTTGGAGGTTCTTGTCCTGCTGCTTTGTAGGCTCTTAGTATAACGGCTCTCATCCAAAACAATATTGTCGTTCTTCAGACTTCTACCGACGTCTCTGTTGACAAGGGGATGAAAAGGCGCTTGAATTTCCTTCTCCTTGTTTTAGTCTTTTGAAGATATATTTTCAGGGCTCTGACAAGACACAAGGATAAGTCCTGGGGGTCCTCTGGTCCGAGGATCGTAGAAAGCGCTGGGACGATGGAACTGTCTGGCTGGCTGGCCAGGTAACTGATTCTTTGCAATGAAGTCCCATCTAAGTCCTAGATGTACTGCAGCACAGTCTCCCGTGTTGAATCTAGTTCGTCCAAAGTCCAGCGCATGTATCTCTGACATTCGAGCTTCAGTGGCTAAGGCAAGTAGGAACAGAGTTTTCTGTGTGTGTAGCTCGAAGGAAGTCTGTTTTAGTGGTTCATAGGCATCACTCGTGAGATGTCGTAGAACTATGTTCAGATCCTCTTTTCTTCAAGCAAATACTCCATACGTGTAGCTGGAACGTTAACGGGTTCCCGTGAGCTTGCTTGGTGTGCGGAGTAGGTTCGACCACTCTGGTAGTTTCAGGCTTGGACTTCCGAATTATTGTATTAGAGCTGGGAACCAGACTCTCGCTGGCCAATAGGGCGCGACCAAAGTCAGTTGTGGCACTTGGATCTTCAATAATACTTGAGGTAGTAGAACCGGAGGCGGAAACTTCGTATGCGTTTAGTCCTTCCCATGACATGCTCAGTGCGTCTGTTGCCCAAGCTTGAGGATCTCGTACTGGTGAGACGAATGTCTGTAGTTGTTTGTTGAACCTTGTGGCGAACAGGTCTATGGAGGGAGATCCTATTTTCATTATGATGAGCCGGAACGCCTCTGGGTGGAGCATCCATTACGTGGGTGACGGATGAAGTGGGCGAGATAGAGCGTCTGCTAGTACGTTGTTTGCTCCCCGAATGTGACACGCCTTTAGCCAGATGTTTGATTTGTCTGCGTTGTTGAACAACTGGAAGGTGAGCTGAAGCAGGCTGGGTGATCTCGTTGATCCCTGTTGGTTTATGTAGAATGCCACTGTTGAGTTGTCTGTGTGAACCATAAGCATTCTGTTGATCACTGGGCTCAACCAATGTTGTAAGACGTTAATCACAGCTTTCATCTCCAGCTGGTTGATGTGAAGATGTTGTTCTTGTTTCGACCACTTCCCCTGATGCCACTTCGTTGTCGAGATGCGCTTCCATTCCTTGTAGTGAGGCATCTACGTAGAGGTGCGTGTCGAAGACCGGCTCTTCTAAATAGGTCCCTCCGCAGACATTCGACTTGTGAGTGTACTATAACAGGTACATCTTGAGACTGTCTGGCAGAGAGATCAGGTCTGCGCAGTCCAGGTGTCTTGCCAGGAATCGCTGCAACGGACGTAATTGTAGTTTTCTTCTGCGAGTCAAGTCCTTGAAGTTTTTGAAAGGCATTTAGAAGTTGGACGAACATGAATACATGACACTTTTATGGATAACAACTGCTTTTTATTCTTTACACGACGTTTCAGAGCTAATTCTTGCTCCTTCATCAGGTGAATGAAGGAGCAAGAATTAGCTCTGAAACGTCGTGTAAAAAATAAAAAGAAGTTGTTATCCATAAAAGTGTCATGTATACACGAGAATCAAGTCCTGCGCTGAGGTGAGTAGACTGAGTAGACACTGCCATGTTCATAGTGGTAACGGAGAGATTACTGCTTCTAGAATCATGGCTTGTATCTTAACCCAACGATCTTCTGGGACCACAATACGATTCTGTGTTGTGATGAACCTTATTCCCAGAAACTGTAGATCTTGCTTTGGTTCCAACTCTGACTTCATCAAGTTTACTAGCCATCCCAGTTGTGTTCGAGCAGTTTGATGGTGAAGACTAGCTGCCGTCTGAGTTGATTGGCTTCTTGATGAACTTGTATTCCGTCATCCAGGTAGAATGCACTGCGTAGACCTTGATGATGTACATAGGTGACGATGGGCTTGGTCACTCATGTGAATAACCACGAAGCCGACGATATTCCAAACGGTAGGACGCTCCACTGGAAGTGTCGACCTCCGAACAGGAATCTCAGGTACTTTCTTGATTCCTGAGGAATCGGTATGTGTAGATATGCGTCTTGTAGGTCTATGCTGGCCAAGCAATCTGCTGGACGAACGAGTTGTCTGAGTTGAGGCAGGTGGATCATCTTGAATCTCTCTGGCTTGAGTAGATAGTCTTGGTTGAATCTCTTCATGTTGTATATCAACCTGAACTTCTCTTTGGAGTTCTTCTTGGGTACTAGGAAAATTGGGGAGTAGAAGCCGGGTGTCAGATTATGTTGATCTATCACTTCTACGGCGTTCTTGGCCAACAGCAGGTTGATGGCTTCTTCTAGCTTCTCTGCCTGGTCGTCTGCGTAGTTGAAGACTACCGGGTCGAGGGTCAGTGGTGGTGTGGCCTTCAGCTGCAATCTGTAGCCTTCTCGCAGTAATTGTGAGACGTAGTCGTCCTCCAATATTCCCGAATTATCCCAGTACCTTTGTAGATGTCCACCCACTGTCGACGGTTGTACAGGAAAGGCTGGGGGTGGAAGTGTACGTCCTCTCCCAGAGTTTCCCCTACTGTTTCCGGATGAGCGACGAAAGGAACTCTTCCCGCCTCTAGAGTTGGAGTATTTCTTGTCCTTAGCCTTCTGCACTCTGGAGAACTTTGACTTGTTGCTGTACCTCTGTGACGTTTGACGAAAGACGTTGGTCAATGTGTCTATGGACTTGATCATCATGACTTCTCTGGAATCATGTGTGGCTTCCCTGGCAGCTTCGTCGATCTCCCCACCAACAAATAGTAGGCGCCGCCCAATGGACTCTCAGTAGAGGTTTCCCAATTGCGTAGATCGATGCTCATCATGTTGATCACTGGATTGACTGGTCCAGACTCGATTATTTACAGACCGCCGCCATATAGCTGGAATATTGCTGAGTGCGGAGTAAAACTAAACTCACTCACTCAGTAGAGGTTGGGTGAATCTGTCACTCCAGGAACAAGTCGATAGTAGACCCTGTCTACGTAGTAGAGTGAGACCCGCCGACATCGAGGCCAGGTGATCAGACATGAAGTGCTAGTCCTTCTTTTGAGTTAACAATGCTGATAGGATCATCCTATCCTCTTCAGTCTTGGGGTTCTGGAACCTGGATATCAACGTCTCGTTGATTGCTCTAGATCTCGCCAGGCCGAAGAATGTTCTTCTAGTCGTGGTGTCGAGTTGAGCAATCTTCTTGTCTTCAACCTGATAAGACTTGTTACGGGAGTGGTTGATCAATTTCATGTTGTCATCCAAGTCCAAGCTCTCATGAAGAGGTCCATGTGATGCAGAGGGAACTTCCTAGCGTTGAACGTTGGTAAATGTTGATTCTGGTACCGGGTTGCTTTCTCAAACGCTGTACGTAGGTTCGCTTGGAGATCGGTTCAATCGGTGGAAACGTGAGGGTGTCGAGGTTATCCTTCCACATCTTGTATGTGATTGCTTCATCGATTCCTTGGAGGGGATGCTAAGTCCAAGCCGTTTGCAATCCAAGATGTGACCTCTGCTCCCGAAAAGATGTAGTCGCCCTCTTCATCAGATAGTTCCGGGTCCGCCGAACTGTGCCTTCGCGAACCTTCCTTTCGGGAACCTTCCTTTCGCGAATCTTCCCTTCACGAAACCTTGCCTTCGCGAACCTTCCTTTGGCGAACCTTCCCTTCGAACGTCTGTGGGGGCTGCGGGATCTAAATGTGGAGCGACTGGATCTTCCTTCTTGACCTTATCGAACGTTGAGGGTTCGCAGACGTGACTTCATAGTCTTTTGTAGTCTCAGATACGTTTGTGGAACCTTCTTCATCTTCCCCCATGATGACCGAGTCTTCCAAACGTGAGGATCTTCGCGAACGTTCGCGAACGTCGTCTTCAGCCGTAGGCTTGTGGGACGAGGATGTAGATGTCTCAGGTTCGCGAAGGCCCGTGGTTCCCCGAACGCCGTCTGTCATCGTAGGGTTCTGCCGTGCAGCTTTCTCTTCGGTGAACCGACGCTCCATCATAGCCATCATCTGCGTTGTAAACTGCTTCATGAAGGTGTCCGGGTCGAAGTTCTGCGTTGTAGGCTGGAACTGATGCGGTGTGGACGAAGCGTTCAAGACGCTGAGGCGTCATCTGCGTCTACTTGCATCTGCGATGAGGCTACACTGGTGTTGTCTCTGTTGACAGACGTCTGCATTGCTGTAGGCTGGTCGTCAAACAGCTGAACAGCTGTCGTAGTTACAGGGGACGATCGTGTCGGCGTGGAGGTACACTACGTCACCGTTCTAGTAGATCTTACTGGTACTTTAGGCAGCAGTATCGGAGGGTCAGCATAAACGTCTGTTTCATCAGGAGGCACAATGTCTTCGTTGAACGACCTCTGATGTGTTGTTTTACTGGGACGAGTTGACTTCGACGAGGTTCCAGATGAAGATGACTTCTTCTTCACCGCAGACGATGAGGACATCTTCCTCTTACTCTGCGATGACGCCGACTCAGTCGTTGCAGACCTCTTCTTAGACCCAGCTAGGTCCCGACCAGCAACAGACGACTGACCCTGTAACATACTCGACAAATCATCTGAGTTATGTATTTCAGCAGTAGATAACAACATACGGTTACCGGCGTTATCTCCGGATTTATCACCAGTGACTTGAGATGACTTCCTCACCCGGCCCATCGCACGTCTATAGATGTAAGACAAGTACTGATTAAATTGTAAATCTGATAAATTTATACAGTATCTGCAACGCAAGCTGGAAGAACATGGATTAATGCATGACGGGCATTGGGGGTAAGGATCAGCCACTGATAGCCCGGTACCTGCAAACACTGCAAGATTTCATCAAATGTAAACAAACTACATTGTGATGAATAAACATCACAAAATATGTATAATTTTTTCAAAATTTTGACATACAATGAAAGCTAAATATAACTAAAAACCATACACATCTTAATTTGGATAAAGGATCTAAATATTAAAGGATATGGTGCTGTATACGGGACTCCAGTGCTCGCCCAACCATCCGCTTGGGCGATGAATGAGAGAGTGACAAGTATGGCAGGTCACATAACTGTTTTAGCAGGAAAAGGGAGGCAACTCATGGGTGAGTGAACTTTTACGTCCTCTTCGGGGAACTACAAGGAATTCAAGTGTTCCACTACTATTCGCATAGAGGAAGGAGATAAGTAAATAAGCATGAGTCAGGATAAGGAAAAAAATCATTCTTTTCCTTTGCTACCGATAGCGAGCATGTGATATGCGAGCTTGGCTTTACACTTGGTATTTAGCAATATTTCAATAACATCACCCCAGGTGGGATTCACACATTGTATCCATGTTCCAGCAAACCCTGGCCTTCAGCATGTGTTGATTAGGGGTATAATGATTATAGTGATATATAAATACATGTGTTAAATCTGCTATATTCATCCCGAGGAACTGAATATTGATACGATCAAGGTGTTAGATGTCATGGGGTATCCCAGAAATAGTCTTCACATATTTCACCCTTGAGGGGAGTAGAACCTGGGCTAAGCAACCAGCCCCTAAAACTGAGCGAACATGGAAATAATTTACTCACTGGCAATTTTCACTTTCCCCAAAATATCATATGCCACCCTGACATTGCTCTCGAACACTGGCCGACTGTGGTGTGTCATCAACAGCACATGTCGGGCTCTCTCCACTGCACTGCTCTGTTCCTCCTGGGCTTCAAAACTGAAACAAAAATGTTGTCATGTGATGAGTAGCTCAGCTGAGGCAGTAGCTCCAGATGTTTAATACTTTGGTTCCAGTTCTGAAAGATAGACACCACCTGGACAATGAAAATTGATAGTATGTGCAACAATTCCGAGCAAAGACACTGATATGTAATTTGACGGCAATGTGATCACTGATCATTGGCGTGATATGTAACACTAAGGTTGATCCTCAGCAAACTCAGCCTACACATACATCCTAGCAGAAATCATCACCACATAAGACTTACTGGTAGATACTGACTGACTGAGTTTGGTTTTACGCCGCTTTTAGCAATATTCCAGCAACATCACGGCGGTGGACACCAGAAATGGGCTTCACACATTGTGCCCATGTGGGGATTCGAACCCAGGTCTTCAGCGTGACGAGCCAATGCTTTAACCATTAGGCTACCCCACCGCCCCTACTGGTAGATAACTGTGATGAGATAGGTCTGTACTATTGCACACTTCCTTACGAAATGATAGCTTAGACTAAGGATGCCAAAAAGGACAGAGGATACAAGAAAGACAGTCAATATGCAACAGTTCTTGCTGGTAATAAGAATGGTAAACCCATCCAGGAATCTCCCGTCCATCCACAATGTCTCCCTACATAGGCATCCTAATTTGTTATCCCTTTGTTTTTATTATTATGTTGACCATGAAAAGTATTTCCAGAACTAATAGCCATATAACAGGGAAATTGGTGAATAGCTGATGGCAATGTCTGGCTGTATGTGTAATCTTAATTTCTGCTTAGGAAAAAGTTCTTGCATTCAGTACACAAATACCACTAAATTTGTAATGCCTGAGCTCAAGATACTACAGCCGCCATTAACATAACACAAGAGGTGCAGTTAGGTATTGCACGTGGAAAGGGAAGTAACAGCACACTATAATTGATCTCATTTCATAGTATCGCAGCTTCTCACTGCCTGGGTTGCATATTCGAGACGCAGCTTATTTATCAAAAAAAGGATTATTTCAATAGAAATATAATCAAAACATGCTGTAAACCAATGCATGGTGAGAGTGCATTAGTTGTCCCCAAGCTTGTTGATTGCTGGTTGACCTCTCAACCACAGGCCCTCGTGTCTTTGCGAGGATTAAAGATTTTGAAAAAATATATATAATTTGAGATGACCCGACTCGAAATGCCTTAAGTACAATAATTATGACACCAAATGTCGATTCCTTAACAATAAACATAATCATAGGATGAGAGGGCACTTGCTTTCAACCATTCTTTATTGTTATTTTGTCGATTGGACATATCGATCATCCAAATGGATTTGTGTCTCAAAATAAGATCAAGCCCTCTGATTGGTCAGCGCTTTCAAATCTGTCATTGTAAATTAAGCAGGAATTTTCTTTTCATCGACTGCTTAATGTAAGAATATTTTCGAGAACAATGACTTCTCAAAGAAAGTATCAGTTGAAATAGCATCAACCAACCCAGAATTGGTAGGTCGGACATATGTCATCCGTTTGAGATCGTTTGGTGAGGGGTCAAAATTGGGTTTCAATCGACAGAAATAACAATAAAGAATTGGTAGGTGTCATGAGTGGTGATCGATTGGCCAATCGTGTCCGGCCTTGTCATAATGTATTGTTCTGTAAGGCATTTCGAGTCAGGGGTCATCTCAAATGTTATATATTTTTTTCAAAATCGTTAATCCTCGGAAAGACACGAGGGCCTCTGCTCTCAACCCCATACCTTAGGAACCCAATTCAACCCAGGCTATATTTTTAATAGTGATGAGACTGGTTTGTTCCCTGGACTTGTAACCCAGAGAACTCATTTGAAAGGTGAAAAATGATACAGTGGCAAGAATTTCAGAGAATGCATTACTTTTCTAGAAACTTTTCTGAGAAACTTAAGCTTTTAGTCCATTATGAGTTCAACTCCATGGCCGGAATGACAAGTGAAATCTTCCATGAATGGGTGACCCACTTACACAATTCGATGACGATAGAGAAGAGAAACACTCCTGAAGCCAATGATTGGTTTCAAATTTGACAAATGCCACACTTGTTTCTTGCCACCAAACCCAAAATCAAAGATCCAAAATCATAGCCAACCTGAAGATGAACTACAAGAGAGAATGATGAGCTACGATGCCTGACAACAAACAAACACATTTATCAAGTGTGGCATCATGTAACAACCTGGTGCTTTGTCAACTGTTCTATAATATGGCTTTCAAAGATATCGATGTAGGAATACTGATACTGAAGACACTGTGACTTTGTTGAGATTGTTTGACATGTGGACTGAAGTGAAAACAGCGAACACCCATAAGATGTGACCTTAGAAGATAATTTGATATATAATTGTTTACTGACTAAATGATGCCATCAATAGTGGATATTCTTGTGACTGTATCATTTACTATCAAGCCGAGAAAGACATGTTTATTTGACGGACTACACTGCAATGTTTATATCACATCCCTAACACTCTCAGTAGGACATTGACAATGAGTCCACAACAATAACCTCAAAGCATCACTACTTACTAATCGGCCAGGAAGTCTATTGGGTCCTCTGGTCTGTTAGATATGATTTTTGCTAGGACATCTTTCACCATGTTTCCAATATTGGTCCTCTCTGCAATAAGTAGTAGAAAATGTTAGTGCCGTTTCTAGGTTTGTAATCGTGGTAATAACTGATATCTTGATGTGGCTTCGAAATTGGTCTGGGATAATTCATTGTCTACAAAATGAAGTGTACATAAAAAGGTTACCAAAATGCAAACATATTGTTTGCTGCACATCATGACGTGTTTACACAACAACTGGACGTGTATCAACCACCACATCGTCTTGATAAATAGCGTGTATGGTCTGAATTATGTAGCATATGCGAAACACGATCTATCCACACGATCCTTGAGTTTACGATGACAGCTCATTGTTTAATGTAAATTTGCAACGGGTTAGAGAAGAATTTGTCCATTGTGCTGTCTGTTTAGAGAGTCATTTCTTCGTCGACCTGTTACAGTACACGTTATCGCAGCTGCTTCTAATCTTTGAAATAACTTATTCATGATTTGAGCAAAACCTGAAGTGTTATCAACCACAGTAGTCAGTGGGTAAACCACTGTTTACGAACTACGAAAACTATACATTTACAATATCATTCTGTCACAAATCGCTTATTGCAGACCTAGGAACTGGCGATCTGTCTCTTGCAACCTCTCGTCAGATGCGGGAACCTTTCTTCTCTCCGCCATTTTTGTTGACACTAGTTACGCTGCTATTTGATTGGTTGCAATTCTCATTACTCCTCACATAAACGTTTTCATCATGCAGTGCATTGAGTTTACTTGGAAAATGCATTACAAAATTTACACTCTTCAAATGTATATCGTACTCTGTATACTTGTGATTTTAGCTGTACCCAATTTTAGCTCACCTGAACTAAGGGTTGATCTTAACTTATCCCACGCCGGAATATCAGAATTGTGTTAGGGAATTTAGCATGGGCAAATGTCGTGCATGTGAACAGCTGCATGCGTTTTGGTGTAAAGTGCTGTTAAGAATTCGCCAATTTTCACTGATTTTTATCATTTATTGAACTACTGGCAATAATCTTTTCAACGTGACGAATTTGTTTTACAATACATCAGTTCATGTGTAAACAGTACCTTTAAACGGGTTATACATATAAAAACAAAGTATGACGTTTCCATTCATGAGTTTTATTTCATGTATCGGAATGACAAGTAACATCTTCCATGAATGTAAGTGACCCACTTACACAATTCGAAGGACGAAGGGGAGAAGAGAAACAATCCTTAAGCCAATGATGGGTTTTCAAATTTGACAAATGCCATAATTTGCTTCTTTTGCCACCAAAAACCCAAAAATCAAAGATCCAAAATCATAGCCAACCTGAAGATGAACTACAAGAGAGAATGATGAGCCATGATGCCTGACAACAAACAAAAACATTTATCAAGTGTGGCATCATGTAACAATCTGGTGCTTTGTCAACTGTTCTATAATAATATTATATGGCTTTCAAAGATATCGATGTAGGAATACTGATACTGAAGACACTGTGACTTTGTTGAGATTGTTTGACATGTGGACTGAAGTGAAAACAGCGAACAACACTCATAAGATGTGACCTTAGAAGATAATTTGATATATAATTGTTTACTGACTAAATGATGCCATCAATAGTGGATATTCTTGTGACTGTATCATTTACTATCGCCGAGAATGACATGTTTATTTGACGGACTACACTGCAATGTTTATTTCACATCTCTAACACTCTGTGTAGGACCGTGACAATGAGTCCACAACAGTAACCTCAAAGCATCACTACTTACTAATCGGCCAGGAAGTCTATTGGGTCCTCTGGTCTGTTAGATATGATTTTCGCTAGGACATCTTTCACCATGTTTCCAATATTGGTCCTCTCTGCAATAAGTAGTAGAAAATGTTAGTGCCGTTTCTAGATTTGTAATCGTGGTAATAACATGGATATCTTGATGTGGCTTCGAAATTGGTCTGGGATAATTCATTGTCTACCACAAAATGAAGTGTACATAAAAAGGTTAACAAAATGCAAACATATTGTTTGCTGCACATCATGACGTGTTTACACAACAACTGGACGTGTATCAAATCCAATTACATCGTTTTGATAAATAGCGTGTATGGTCTGAATTATGTAGCATATGCGAAACACGATCTCTCCACACGATCCTTGAGCTTACGATGACAGCTCATTGTTTAATGTAAAATTTGCAACGGGTTAGAGAAGAATTTGTCCATTGTGCTGTCTGTTTAGAGAGTCATTTCTTCGTCGACCTGTTACAGTACACGTTATCGCAGCTGCTTCTAATCTTTGAAATAACTTTATTCATGATTTGAGCAAAACCTGAAGTGTTATCAACCACAGTAGGCAGTGGGTAAACCACTGTTTACGAACTACGAAAACTATACATTTTACAATATCATTCTGTCACAAATCGCTTATTGCAGACCTAGGAACTGGCGATCTGTCTCTTGCAACCTCCTCGTCAGATGCGGGAACCTTTCTTCTCTCCGCCATTTTTGTTGACACTAGTTACGCTGCTATTTTGATTGGTTGCAATTCTCATTACTCCTCACATAAACGTTTTCATCATGCAGTGCATTGAGTTTACTTGGAAAATGCATTACAAAATTTACACTCTTCAAATGTATATCGTACTCTGTATACTTGTGATTTTAGCTGTACCCAATTTTAGCTCACCTGAACTAAGGGTTGATCTCAACTTATCCCACGCCGGAATATCAGAATTGTGTTAGGAAATTTAGCATGGGCAAATGTCGTGCATGTGAACAGCTGCAGGCGTTTTTGGTGTAAAGTGCTGTTAAGAATTCGTAAATTTTCACTGATTTTTATCATTTATTGAACTACTGGCAATAATCTTTTCAACGTTACGAATTTGTTTTACAATACATCAGTTCATGTGTAAACAGTACCTTTAAACAGTATGGAATATTTTGCAATATTTAGTTTAGAATAGTTGCCTGAAGTAAGTGGCTATATTTTCACTAGTGAGTCTCAACTTTTGATGGGAAAACCATTACGTTGCCGCATTAGATAACGTCAAAACGACCCAACATCATAGCATACTTCAAAGACGTATATATACGTCTTTACATACTTATATAAAGATAACAGAAATTAATTATGGTGACTTACGGCATTTACATGCATATATTATGTGCACACACGCACTCACACGCACACGCACACGCACACACACACACCGTAACTGAGATATAACACCTCATCGTGCATGTATACTTATAAATAGATTGGGTTTGATTGTATGCCATTATTAGGGATTATGTGAGTGAGTTTGGTTTTACGCCGCACTCAGCAATATTCCAGGTATATGTCGGAGGGTCTATGTACAGTGAGCCATTACACCAGATTACACCTTATGCTTTGGTGATTTTCGTGATGAAGATATGTATCTGCTATGTCGGTATTTATGAAAGGGCAGCCTTATTGACACCAACATATTTACTTGTTGAATTCGAATGATAAGGTACCATGAAAACTCAACATCTTATGACATTTTTAAGAAGGACGGAAAAACCCATCTCTTTAAATCTGCCCACACCCAGCAGCATTTGTGACTTTTTGTTAGCGCTGTCATATTCAGTATGAGTGAGTGAGCTGGGTTTGACGCCTCTTTGGACGGTATTCACGTGAATGACAATATATACTCAAAACAACAAGTTTGTTTACAACTTGTACAATTAATTTGAGTAAGCAAGAAATATGAAAAGCCTGTCTCAAGAATAGATTAACGAGTATGAGAGACCAAGATCTCCACTTGTCCAGACAATATTTACACTTGTGGTTATACGGTCAAGTTGATTGTAAGACTTTCGCTTCAGTCACGTAATTTCCCGCTACTTTACAAGTCAAGAACACGTTCAATGCATGGCTGTACGTTGAGAATACTTATCTGCAAAATGTGAACGAATGGTTGATTTCATGAATGTCATGATCGGTGATTCATGCGTCAAAAGACACAGTCAGTACAAAGAAGCTTTGAGTGCTTCTTGACTCAACAATGAGTATGGTGAAACACACTTAGAAATATCAAGACCAGGATCAAGAAGTCTATTTCAGTTTGTAGGCCATCGGCCCATGTACAAAAAGCAATGCAAACGATATTGTACATAATGGCAATAGGCAGACATGTGTGTTGTTAATATATACAAGATCGACATTTAAGAGATGATTTGATAAATTTAGCACAATTCAATAAAAGTACCATGTCATTAGAAGTTATTAACTTTATGAGTTTACAAGCATTTGTTAAATTATTCCATAGAGGTAAATACGTTTTTCGTAGTGTTACATATTTATCACATTCAAACACATTCATCTTCATTTATATTACTATTGCTATTACTATTACACATCTTACAAATTTCATCAGAGTTCATAGTTTCCTTCCATCTAATATTACATCGTAATGGTAATGCGTGGAATCTCGACAAACATAAATATCTTCATAAGTCTCTTACATTAATTCATAAAATGTGATTATCAAGTGGCAATGATGATATAATACTTTTAAAATGTACAAGACTGAATGAATCCATATTGCTTCTGATAGTTTGTTTTGAACAATCAACTCACCTCTGCTTAAATAATGATAAAAATAATGACACATTTCCGATGTCTTGGGAAAGCCAAACATAACCAAATCCATACTCATTTAAAAGTTTACGTATTTTTTAAACCCAAGTAATCCTACCTACAGAATCTAATCTAAGTATATGATTATAACATTGTTTAGGGTAACGATCATTAGACATTCTTAATAGTTTACTCCTGTGTAATCTAAGAATTTAGTATATTGTTGACATCGTCATCAGTACAACTATCAGAAAGACTGACTGACTGAGTTTGGTTTTACGCCGCTTTTAGCAATATTCCAGCAACAGAAATGGGCACCAGAAATGGGCTTCACACATTGTACCCATGTGGGGATTCGAACCCGGGTCTATGGCGTGACGAGCCAACGCTTTAACCACTAGGCTACCCCACCGCCCCTATCAGAAAGATCCTCGTCATGATTAGATAGATAGATAGATAGATAGATATATATAGACACACACACACACACACACACACACACACACACACACGTCTAACATGTTTTTGTCATCCTTTTTGTTTTATAAATAAATACAACTACCCGCCCAAACCAGAGTGTTACAGCATATTCCAGAAAGGATATTTCTAGAAGCCACTGATATGTAAAGGGGACACGTTCTTGCCTCGGTCTTCAAACCTTTCATGGAGACCAGCAGTTGTGTGAAGATCACTTTTCATCCTTTATTCTCAGCCCAGGCCTGTTTTGGAAGAAGGACCACTGTTACAGATAGGAGAATATTAGTATGAATCCAGTCTTTGTTTGCTATTATCACTGTACCACATTTCTTTCTGGTTATAAAAATTAGTTGGTTACAAAATCTTGTTTAGAACAATAGGATGATGTCAGCTGAGGTTTACAACCCAAGTTAACCCGGGTATTACGGTGTCAGGCCGGGAAAGCCACATTTCAAAAATGACTATTGCCGGGAAGGCCACATTTCAGTTACATGGCTGTAGCCGGTAAATCCACATTTCCAATAGAGCGATTAATTAATGGATTACCGTAACTGGTAAAAGACTGTTCCTACACTCAACGCCAAAAGAAACGTTACC